AATAAGCACACGGGAATAAAGCTCGCAGTGTGTCAGCGAATGGGAAGGCAGCCAACGAGGTCAGGGGGGCAGAACATGCGACAAGGCACGTGGGCAGGATGAAACAAAGGTGGCTGGACTATCAGTGGATGACTAAGCGGGCTAAAGGACACATATTTCGGCCAATTCCTTCACACAGTTAACAGTAAATAAATCCGAATATAACATTGACATGATGAATGTTACAAGTAGTATAAGTGGTAGTAATAGTAAAATTAGTAGTATCGGTAGTGGCTTACAGCGAAAAGCAGCCCGATACGCGTTCCACACGCGACTCGGTGCTCACTGCATTTACTATGCTACTGTTAGAGCGATTCGGATCTTGTGTGGGTGATAGTGCCACCAAGGCAACATTATAAAGCATATTTGTAAGTCCTTATACTTTGAGGTTACACAAATCTAGGATGCCCCTCGCTTGTAGAGCAATTTGAGATTTGAGGTCAGTCTCCGGATTACGCATAACTACATGTGTAAGCGAGTTAAAAATTCTCGTCCAGTATCTAAATTCCTCAGCATTGCAACTACTAAGATCTCGGGATTTGACAAACTAAAGTATGGCAGGTCGATTGCCGATTTCGACTATGTCCACAGTATGCTACACAACAGCGTGATGCAAGTGTGGTGACTTGCGCGGGAATTAGTTTTAATTTATAGTAAACTTTTAACGCGCCTACTGCACTCCCTCTTCTCTCACCCACCTGAGCCTGGTGTCAAGGCACAGTCATGAAAACCAGAGACGAGATCAGGTTCAAGTGACTGGCGCAGCTGAAACCGCCCCTATGCGTGGCGCCTCCCCCGTGTTCGTCAATTATTTCGAGAGGGCAACCAGAATGACGCATGCCGTAACCTGATCTGGCACTGTGTTGGTCCAGCATATCCACCGCACGGCCCGTTTAGTGAGCACATTAGTATGCATCATACACTCATAGATTAAGATATCTGCTCCGTAGTATTGAGTTACTTGCACACAACTACAATATGTGGAAAGTCCTGCAGTGTAAAGTTTGTTTCCGACATCAAAGTACCTCCATGGGTCCAAACGAGAGCGTGAAGACGCAGTAAGAGAGACGATGGCGCGCGAAAGACCTCATGCAAGTCCTCGAGGCTGTTCAGGCTTTCCACCTGACTGAGAGGTTCGCACGAAACCGTTTTGGCGGAGAGAAGCCGGAACATCTGCGT